GAGTCAAAAAAGAGTTGGTTTGAAGGACTGTACGATAAGTCTCCCTGGTTCACCACTCTGATATCCTCTCTAGCAGGCCCTCTAGTCCTCTTGTTTTTAATCTTAACTTTAGGGCCCTGTATACTTAATCGGCTGGTCCAATTCGTAAAGGATCGGCTATCTGTAGTTCAGGCACTAGTCCTCACCAGTCAATACCAGGCATTAAGAACCCAGGACCCCGATATGTTATGATGAGTGAAAGATTCCCCTCATATGTCAAAGAAAAAGGGAGGAATGAAAAACCTAGGTGCCATGAGGCCACCTGATAGGAATGCCTGACAAGAGGTCAAGCATTGAGAAACTAGCTTATCAGAAAAACAGGACGTAGTGGTCAAGCCATCTGCATCTGGCAATCCCCGGGGCTCGATACCAGGAAATCAGATCTGTACCATAAGTCACCCACCCAGAATTTAGCAACTTAACTTCCTCATGCTTTATACTCGTTTGAATGGGCCAATAACCATGCTTCTGCTTCTGTACCCCGCTTCTGCTCTATAAAAGTGCCAAAACCCAGCATGGGGGCGCGCAAGTCCTCCGAGGAGACTTTGTGCCCACAGGTACCTGTGTACTAAATAAACCTCTTGCTGTTGCAACCCGAAGGCTGACTTGTCCTTGGTGGTTTCACTCTTACACTCTAACTTGAAAAAATTTCTGATTTTATTGACAATGTTTTGTTTATATGAATTTAGCATGAAGTTCTTCTTTTCTATGCCTATGATTCAGACTTGGTCTTTTCTTAAGTGTTTCATAGGTTTTGAATGTTGTGTTCACATTTTCTTTTAAGTCTATCTTTGTCATTATCTGCATGTTGTCCTTTACTTACCTTCAAGCGCTGATGCTCTGTCCTGCCCTTGATCTGTTTTATTCCATAGAGTGTTTTCTGTGACTTACAAATTTTCATTTCCAGTATTTCCAATTTTTTTAATGTGTCTTTCTTTTTACTGAATCCTACTTTCATATCCTGTATTGACTTATTTACTTCTTGGAATTCATCCAGGTATTTTCATCTCTTTAA